CATTTTATTTTTTATTAAAAAATTTCTTTAACACTTGAAAACCAAAATTTGTAAAATTATCACTAAAAATAGTAAATTTCTTATCCCTCTCTTTCCATAAAAAAATTCAATTTCTTTTCCAAAAAAAAAAACATATTTTTTATTAAATAAAATATTTCCATGTTAGGCTACTCCTACGAATGTATTAAAATACCGTTGGCTTGCGAATGTTATAGCCAATTTCGGCAGCTGCCAACCACACACACAAATAATGCACCAACACTTGCTGCATTGCGGCATTTGTTTTCACTTTAATGCCATCAAATATTTTGTATATGTACAACGTGTCAATAGCCCGTGACGTTAAATCAAGTCATTGGCGCGTGAAACAAAAATAAAGTGTTGGAAAGTGATAAGATTATCAAGGAAGTAGCATTCGATATTAAAATCACGGAATTGCGCTAGAAGAGCGATGGCGGCTGAAACACACACGCACACATGTACATATCTATATACGAACTCAGAAAGAGAATGTGTGCTTGAGTCCAACACATGCAAGCACGCAAAGTGTGTGTAAAGCGAGACAGCAGTAAAATATGCTTGCAAAGTGTGCCATTTCAGGCATTTGTCCTTGCCCGAAGGCGCAGCGCCAAGCGTTTACACCATTGCCCTACTGCTCCCTTCTGCTTTATCCTTTTATATGCTGCTGCTTCTTAGTCCTTGTGTTTTGGCAGTTCTTCTTGCGCAATCCCGTGCTGCTATCTCTAGTCATTGCGGCTTTCGCTTTGGCACATTTGCCAACATTAAAATCGTGTTACAGCCTTTTTTGGCATTCAACCTGCCACACAACTTCACACACACATAAATATATGAACATATACACTCATAAACATGAACAAATACGCACATACGGATATGTGATATTTCTCCAACCAAAAAAAAATATTTAAAAAAATGTCGCCCAAGCCTTTCTTGACGATTTGCCAAAATTCACATTTGCATCCTCATTTCCATTCCATCACAGTTATTCGGCACAAAGCGGCTGCGAAGTGTTGCGACACTTTCTGCTTGCCACTCTCCATTTCCCCTTTTTCCTACTCATTACATTTTAGTGCTTCACCGGCCGCTCACACATAAATACCAACGACATTTGCGCAAGCACACAAACTGAAAGTTGGGGAAAACTGCAAGTTGGCGCAAGGTAAGCATCGGCGTGAGCAGCGCAGTGGGGCCTAGGTATATGCATTGTTTCTCGTCGTAATGAATGAAATCGGAATTGCTCTGCAGCATTTGCCGAATTTAGTGAATTCTTTGGAAGCGCATTAATTCGCTTGTGATTTGCATTTTTGTTGAGTAATTGATAAATTAAAAGAGAAATGGGAAATTAGCACAGGCAACTCATTGCAATTACATTAATGGTAATGAAAAAAGAAGAGCCACATATAATACATAAATTATAGGTATAGATAGAATATATGTAGGTATGTTAATCAAGATTACATCGAGGATTTAATATCCTTCAGAGGTACATTTGTTATGATATAAAAAGTTATAAAAAGATGTTTGTCTTGCTTTCGTTCGGCCAATTTGTACGACAGCTATATGCTATAATGGTCCGATCTGAACCTTGTGCACGGAGATTGTAACACTGCCCAAAATAATAATCTGTACCAAATTTTGAGAAGAAATCATCT